GGATCAATAAAAATGCAAGACATAGATTTTTCTGCATGACACTGAGGCAGCTGGGAAGGGTGTCGGTGTTCGCTCAGCTCAGCATCCGGAATCCTTCTCAGTCTCATGGAGATGCATTTTCCAATGGATTCATAAATCACAGTGTCTGGTTATATTTATAGGCACCGTGTACAAACACCGGGGTTTTGAAACAAAGACTGGCTGTATTCCGTTTTACCTGTTTATGAAAATTTTAATCGTTTACAACAGTATATATTTTTCTTTCTCGTGAGTCTGCAGGTCAGTTGTGGTTCAGCTAACTTCAACTGGACTTTCCTGAGTTCTGTAGGTAGGGTAAACTCCAGGTGGGGCTTTCATCCTTTAGGTTAAATCTCGGTCTGCGCCACAAGCCTTCATTTTTCTCCTAGAACCAGCAGTTAGGCAGCTAACTCAGCACTTGCTATTCTTACAACAGAGCGTAAGAACACAAAAGGATTCGTAGATCATAGGAACACAGGAGCCCCATCTGCAAACCTCCGTGCTCACACTTCTACCCATGTCTTGGGCCAGCAGTGAGGAGACTGGGAAGTAACCCCAGCCACAGTGAGATGCGAGGTGGATCCCCTGGACAGGGGCTCAGAGGCATGACGCAGAGAGAACAAAGAAGTGGGAACAATTCAATCGGCCTGAGTGACCTTGTTGGACCTTGCTTCTGAAAACATAGCTGTCAGCTACAGAGCAAAGGAAAAAAGATGATAGTAGACATAAACCCCTTCCAAAACAGAATAAAGAAGGAAGGGCGTGAGGGCAGAAGGAAGGGATGAGAGAGGGGAGGAACGCTTTGACTGGAAGTTGAAAATATTGGGAGCCCAGGGCATCATGTTATGCAATTTCTGATTGAGGATGGACCTTATTTAGGGCAGTGGGGAGAGAAGAGAACTGAGACTTATTGAATAGCTATTATATTCCAAGCACTATACTAGGCAGCTTAGATACCCAATGTAATACAATCCTTATGACAACACTTGGGGTCACTCTTATTATGCTTATTTTATAAAAGTGGAAATTGGGAATCAATGAGGTATGTAACTTGCCAAAGATCAACCATCAAAGAAGTAGGGCTGCTGGGATTGTCAGAGTCCAAAGTCCATTTTAGAAGAGGGTAGGTGATGTACAATGGCTCATGCTTGTAATCCTGGCACTCTGGGAGGCTGAGGCTGGTGGTTTAGGCTTCCCTAAAGGGACTGGCACCTCCCTCCTTTGTGGTTCTGAATTCTCCAGCACTGGGACATGAAGGAGAGGTTGGAGGATGGGCAACTTCTTTATGCTTAACTTGAGCTCAGGAGTTCAAGACCAGCCTGAGCAAGAGCGAGACCCCTGTCTGTACTAAATATAGAAAAACTAACCAGGCAGGATGGCACATGCCTGTAGTCCCAACTACTCAGGAGGCTAAGGCGAAGATTGCTCTAACCCAAGAGTTTGAGGTTGCTGTGAACTATGATGCCACAGCACTCTACCCAGGGTGACAGAATAAGACTCTGTCACAAAAAATTAAAAAAAAAAAATTAGAAGGGAATTGAACTGAGAGGCCTCTTAGAAATCAAATTTATAGGACTTGCTGTCCTAATTAGATAGATGGTGAGCAGAAAGAGAAAAGTCATGTGACTCAAAACCTCCTACTCGGGGCCATGGAGTGATAGTTCCCCCATAAACTGAGATGGGAAACTGAAGTGAGAGAGCCAGTTTTTTGAGCTGAAGGAGATAAACTTATTCTTGATTTATTGATACCTATACATCTATGTGAGATGTCCTATAAAGGTTCCTTGGAACTCTAGAAGAGAAACCAGTCCTGGAGAAATCACTCCAGAAATAGGGGCAAAAGCATTCCAAGCATGGAAAATTCTATTAGAAAAGATATGACTGGGTCTTGCACAGTTCATGTTCAAGGGTTGACTAGCAATTTACTCTTTTGACATATCCGTGTGTAATCACATTTATTGGGTACGTAAGGAGTAGGATGATTTCAATTTGCCTTAGATGCCAGAATAGGACGTTTGGACTTCTCTACGGAAGGAGCCATTATAGCTTTTCATACGAGAATTGTCTTTACAGTCTGGCTTTTGAAAGACTAATGTAGTAGCAAAATACTAGCTAGACCAAAGGTGTGAGGCCATGGGGAGGACTATCGTGCTTGTTTTTGCGGGCACTAACAAGAACCTAAGCAGGGGAGTGGCAGTAGGAACAGAAATAAAGGAACAGATGGGAGGATTGCTTTGAAAGAAATTATTGTGCAGCACAGTAACCATTCTGCATATCGTTAAATACACGTCAAGTTAATTTTGTAACTTCATTTGGCTCTAATGGTTTCCTGTCTTCAGGTATGCAAGAGCCTTCATAATTTATTGGTCATCTGTTCACATATTTTAATTAAGAGTTATCATTTCCATGAGGGAGAGACTATGACTCTTTTGTTCCCTAGAATTTCCATGATATTCATCAGAATGAGCGCTGATTAGATAGTTATTGAATGCATGGACGGGTGACTACTGCCCCCGCACGCATGCGCGTCCCCGTTTCCAGGTCTTCAGTTCCGCTTAGGCTCCCACCACGTGTTTCCCTCCCTCTCACCTCTTTCGGGCTGGTCTGGGAGGACGTGCCTTACAGGAGTCCGCAGACCCCTGAGCAGTCTGCATTCAGTGAGACGCTGATTCTTTTGCTTTCTCTTTTTCCACTCATTGCCTTCAACCAGCTCGGCTGAGTCTTTACTATTTTTTAATATCATCTCAGACATCTACAGTAGCTTTCGAGGCATGTAAAATACCGAAAACTTAGCTCTAATCCATTTTAAACCTTCCGTTTTATCTTCTTCCTTTCCCCCCGCCCCCTCCCAAGTTCAAGCTTCCCCAAAGGGTCTGGCACCTCTCTCCTTTATGATTCTGAGTTCTCCATCACTGGGACATGAAGGAGGGGTTGGAGGATGGGCAACTTCTTTATTCTGAACTGCATTTGTCTTTCAGTCCTCTGGGGGGCTCCCTGATTCTCTGCCTAACACTGACCTTCAAAATGTCATGTCTGTGATGCAGGTGGCTGCTGACTGGTCTGTCAAAGGAGTGACCTGTGAGTGCATAGGGGCAACCTGTGGGTTCCACAGTTCTCTGATATGGGACAACTTGACTCTTCCCCAAGTGGAGTCATGAGGACTCCCTAAGCTTGTCACCAGTCTCCACTGCTGGGGTAATCAGTGTCTGGGGTGGGCCGACAGCAAGACCTCCCTGCTGAGTTGTTACTATAACTTTAAGGGTAGTGATTATCTCTTTCTTCCTTATTTCCTTATGGGGCTCAAGCGATTGGTTAAGTTAGTAGTTAGTTCAACCACCTCTTAACAAGTCCTAGAGAATGCTCTTAGCCCCCCCCCCAAGCTTTCAAGGCATGAAAACTTAGCTTTAATCCATTTTAAACCTTCATGCCTTGAAAGCTCTAGGACCCCCTTTGTAACTCTTTAAGATATGAAAATACTTAAGACCTATGAGTTTCATCTTTGGGTCCTAGTCTCCCAATCTGACTCCCAATCATAATATCCAGTTCCTTATGAATACCACTAAACTGTAGATTGCAAACCTCCAGTTGTCCTTTATTAGACATTTGTAGCTATTACGTAATAAACACCGAGCTAAGTGTTATGTGAGTGAATATTTCATGGCTAGTTAAGACGCGTCAGTTGATATGTTAAAAGTGAAATACAAAAGTCTGATGCAGTTCTGAATTCAAGTAATGAATTGCACTGTCATTTTAAAATAGAGGGCATTTAAAATCTCACAATGGGAACTATACTGGGGAGTAGAAAAACAGGAGAGAGTAAAGGGAAAAAAAGGAACTTTAAAGAGAGAATCTCAAAAATGAGAACCCTGTGTAGTGGCAGAAAGCTTAACATGTTTAAGATTAAAATCTGAATCCCTGGTGCCCAGGCTAATCTCTTCTCTGCTCACAAATCAGAATCATAGAGATTTCCATTAATATTTATCTCCTTAAGTCTGAAGGAGGAGGAAAGTCTGTGTCGTGTTTTGCCCAGTTTTGCTGTTTCCATCATGAATTTCGCTCAAGGCTCAGGTCGGGTGGATGAGAGGTCACTTGTCCCTCATCACTGAAGTAGGAGAGGCAGGGTGTGGCATGCACAGGGGCACAAGTTTTACAAGTGAGTCACTTGGAAAACCAAGAACCACAAATTCAGCTAAAATTTCAACTAAAAGCTAGCTCCAGGACTAGAATAATCCGTACAAAATTTTAAACCCAGAAGTTCCTCTTGCTTAAATTACTTTCACACTCCAATTTAAACTCAGAAACATTATGTCGCTGTCACACTTCTTTGTTCTCCCAAAGTATTTAAAAAAAAAAAATCTGTATATAGCTGACAAAAAATAGGAGTCTGTCTGCCAGCCAGCTCTCTACTCATGTCTGACATACTGTAGACTCGATCCAGAACACATGGTCCTAAACACCCCAAAGCCTCTCCTTCACTGGCGCGCCACGGCTGCCTGTTTCCCCAGTGTGTTTGCTGTACCCACATGACATGTCTTGCATAAGTGAGAATTCCTTTTGAAGCTTCAGTCATGCAGTCTTGTCACATGCTTTGATGTCGCGCCAACGGGAATTATCACCTGTATTTTGGAAGTGTACTTCCCTGTGCCTTTGGCATTGAACTCAACACCACCCAACTGACGTCATTTTCAATGCCATCCCCCAGAATGCCAATAATGTCTGTCATAGAAGTTTGACATATTTAGATCTTTCCCATATGGCGTTAATTTAGCAGCTAAATTGGAAATTTCTGGGTGTATTTTGGAAAGCTAATTCAGCATGAAAATTATTAATGGCTTTGAATTGTGCTCAGAGTGTTTTCTTTCTCCTTGTTTGATTATCCAGAAAGATCTGTTGCTTCATAGCAGATAAGTTTCCAAGTAGAAATATGCCTTCTGTTGTTGGAGCACTTGAAATTGATGCTAATGTGATTTTCTTAATTACAGATGAGACCCATTGGTCATGATGGCTACCATCCCACGTCCGTGGCTGAATGGCTGGATTCCATCGAACTGGGGGACTACACCAAAGCCTTTCTAATTAATGGCTACACATCGATGGACCTGTTGAAAAAAATCTGGGAGGTTGAACTTATTAATGTAAGTTGATCTCTTAATGATTCCTTTCCCAGTCAAACATGCGTAAACGAAATTTTATTGCAAGGGGGTCATTATTTCTTTCTTTATAACTGTTTGGACATCCAAACAAGGATTGACAGATACACCTTCCGTTTAAAATATATATCAAAGCTCCAGAAGCTTTGCCTTTTGCAGTCTTGATGTAGAGAATTCAGAGGTAAAGAGAAGTCTCAGGCTGTTTTGCAACATCTAAGAAAACCTTCCAGGCATCTCTGCGTCTTCCTTTTTGTGAAATTTTGTCAGTTTAGGATGTGGATATGATGACGAATCATCTCCCATCCTGATCTTTACTCACACTCACTGTTGAAGATTTATTTCAATGATCATTTTTTACTTCTCTAACTCTATCCTGTTTCTTGGTCTCTATTCCTTGATCGCATAGATAAACTCCATGCTTGCAGAGACTGCTTTTATTTTTACTAAATAGGGTGCCGTAATACCACCATTTTGTTTTCTGAAGCTGGTATCTAATCTCAGGTCGTCTCTGTTTTATTCATATACTTGGCATCGATCTCCTGTAAAAACTGGCCGACATATGTTAGCATATATTCAAGCCCAAGGAGATCAACTAAACCTGCATAAACGATCCTGGTACCTGTCCCATTCCCCTTTTACTTCTGTACTTTTTCTAAGGGCGTAAATAAACAAATTGGATGAAAAGATAACATGCGATGATTATGCGTTCGAGTTATACTTGGCATTGTAAACCTTTCTTTTTAAAAGGGACAATAAGAAATCATTTCGTCTTTTACAGAAATGTTAGGTTTATATTCTCGTGATTGGGGAAGAAAGCATTCACAAACTGAAAGATAAAGCAAGCAAATTTCTGCTGGTTCAAAAGTGCTCTGCCCCCCTCTTGACGCCACTTTCTCTCTCTAGGTCCAGATTGTACATATTCCGTGTCATTATTTATTTTAAATGATGCTTATTAGTAGTAATGACTGATTCTTTTAAAAGTCTGTCTTATAAAATATCTCTTCTGGGATAGTTTATAGAAATTGTTCTTTCATCTGAAAATCCCTCTAAACAGACTAATCCTTAGCTTCTAATTGGCCACTAGTGACTGTTGCACGTAGGTTCGCTTGTCCCATCCAAAAGCCATCCTTGTTTCACAAGAAACTCACCATCCTCCTTAAAGCCTCTGGTTACCTCCCCTATAGTCTGTGTGGCAATGGAACTAACCGAAGCTGTATTGCTTTGCACTTGCATCAGCCTGAATTTCAATTCTCTACCAAGAACTTGACACTCACATCATTGCTGCCCTTCAGTACTTGTTCAAGAGGTATCTATCTTCCACAGATGAACAAACAGGCTTCCAAGTTGAGTTGCATGCCAGCTAATGAGTCAGCAGGATAGCCTGACAAACATCTCTCTATAACGTCTTCTGAATAACCTTGCTCCCCACTCAAGAACAAATACAACAGGTGGCGCGTGGCCATTCACCCCCCTGGCATTAGCAGTAATCCCCACCAGAAAGAATGGATTTCAATAGGACTCTGCTATAAAATGTCTTCCTAAATAAGGATCGTTTACAATGTGGGGCTCTAGGTCTCTGAAAATCCAGGTACATGAACCAGTGTTTACAATGTAGGCTTGGGCTCTCACTTTCCTCACTGGTCAAGGTAATGGCAGCCTGGCCGTGGGGACAGCAGCAGTTACTGGATGGACAGTGATGGCCCCGTCTTTACTGCCAGGGCTCAGGGACTGATCCACCACCACCCTTGGGGCCAATCAGCCTTGATTTGAGACAGAAAAGTGGTGTTTCCCCGCCCCCCATGCTGGCTCTTAGGGTTTTCCTGTTAGCTAGGCTTTCTCTAATACAACCTGACTTTAATCCAGGAAGACGAAGTGCCTGTCACAAGCATTGCATCTAAATTTGAAACTAGTCACTGCCTTTTAGATTGTAAGGCTTAGCTCCTCTGGCCTGGGGCATACCATCTGTGTCCACCACCAACCCAGCGTCTTTTGCTTCAAGGAAACTTATCGAATTGAATATTCCTCATGACGTCTTTAAGAGCAAGTTCACACCCTGGCTGGTGAGACTTTGCAAGTCATTTAACTCAGTAGAAATATTAAGTATGGACAAAATCTGATCTGAACCTTTAGAATTAGAAATCAGGAAACAAAATTTGTATGCCCATTGGAACTGGGTAGTTCATTCAGCGGTTTGGGTTTATTGGGTTTTAGAATGAGAAAACTCATTTTGGCTTAAAAGCTTTTGACTGATCTCAAATTCAAGACTTTTTTTTATCCCAATTAATGAGGAAATATATCCAGGTCCAAAGTCCTATATGAATCACCCATAATTTGTTGTTTTCTAGCCTGAAGGGAATGTATAGTTACCTTGATTTTAGAGCAAAGCCTTTTAAAAAAATTCACCTCCCAAATCACTGTAATAAGTGGCTAATTTTAAGGAAACCAAATGATTCTAGTAAGTTGTTGTTCTTTGTAGAGAAAAGTGCAAAAGCAGGCTGCCTTTCAGACAGAGGTCTGCTGGTCAAGAGGAAGAGAACAGAGGATGAGAAGGCAGACTGCTGCTATGCTCATAGGTAACTTCAGTGTCATTACATAGTGTTGGTTAAGCATTCAGTGTCATGTGGTTGTATGCTTGGCATTAAACAAATATTAATATATTCTCAGTGAGAATGGGCACAGTGGCTCAGTCATGTAATCCTTGCACTCCGGGAGGACAAAGTGGGAGGATTGCTTCAGCTTAGGAGTTCAAGACCAGCCTGAGCAAGAGCAAGATAATGCCTCAGCTAAAAATAGAAAATTTAAGGAGGCATCATGGTGGGCACCTGTAGTCCCAGCTACTCAGGAGGCTCAGGCAGGAGGATCCCTTAAGCCCAGGTTTGAGGTTGCTGTGAGCGAGGCTGAGGCCACAGAACTCTAACCTGGGCAACAGAATGAGACTCTGTCTCAAAAAAGAAGTCTTAATATATTCTCAGAGAGAATAATGAGCTTATTCAAAGTATTTCAATAAGGAAATGAAAACTATACACTTGACTTGAAAAGTGCACTTGAAGTTTTAATGGTTCAAAAATAAAAAAAGGCCCCCAAAGTTCTTTTTGTTGCTAAAGAGCTTTCTTGTCTTTGATAAACAAGATGATTTGAACAAACTAAGAGGGATTTTGATGACAAAGCTACCCAAAGGGTAAGGATGGAAGGGATTAGTGGAAATCTTAATATCAGCTTTGTCGGCAGTGGAAACAGAGCAGGAAGACATTTCTAACACATGCGCTTCTGACAATTTTACAGGCCCATGTGTGTCTACACATAGATGATGGAAGATAGGCCATTAATTGTTTCTTTATTCTTCATGCTTCATAATCAGAAGCTGATGTTTTATCAATAGCTCAGTTTTGCTCCTGTGTCTGCCACTATCATAAAAAAGATCATTAATTCTACTCTCATTTTTGTATTGATATTTCAGTGTTAAAATATGAATATGTTGGGAGAGATCGTCAGGCAAAATGTTCCTGGTAGCTGGCTGAACCTCTAGTTTGAATTATAGTCTTGTCCAAATGCTGGTTAAGATAATTAAAAGACTAGTTAACATAAGTAAGGATGTGAATTTTTTTTAACTCAGAAGGTTACTTAGGCCTTGCATATATTAGCGAGTGTCAACGATGGTTTGTACTGCTATTGACAACCTCAACAACCCCTGTAGGGAGATTTTAGATTTTCTCTATGGCTTTAATATGGTATATGGTTTAATTATGAAATTAAAATAACTATCTTAGAAACAATGCAAATAACCTCGTATTCATCTTCTACACCAAAAAAGTACTGAAATTATGAAAATGTTAATTTTTTTACCACTGTGTACCTACTCAAGGGACTTGGGTAAGAATAAATAAATTTGAACACTGTCCAATTTATTGGTTTATGAATCTCAGTGTAGAACATGTGATTAATTTCTTCTCATTGGCTTTATCATGGTTTACCAGGGAAATAATTCTAGCCCAGACTTATAATATCCTATGATACTGATAATGATAAAAGTACCCACTGAATGGACAAGATATAATTCCAGTTTCAATGCATTCTTAAATCTCTCTGCTCACAACTGTAAGAATAGCTTTAAAAATCTAACCGCGGTGGTTGTTTTTTAAATGCCTTTGGGTAGAAACAAATAAAATAGGTAAGGCAGCGAAACTCATATGCATCCCATGAAAATTATTTCATATGCCCCATGAAAATAATTTGGAATTATTTTTACAGCAGTAAATCGATTAGAAGACCATTTGCTTCTTGCCTAATCGCTGCTGAAACTGTAGTTACATCTCACTCTTTCACTTAGAACTGTCAGATTTATTTCCTTTTCTTTTCTTTCCATATGTAATTGAATGTTGATTTCATTTTTACCTTCCCAGGGAAATCTTGTAATAATCTAACCACCTGGAGACGTACTAAGAAATTTTCAAAGCAAACTTTCTAATTTTACATTAATTCTTTAATAACGTACACTTATCTGCATGGAATGCTGTAGAGATATCATCCTGTGAGTATCCCATTTAGACTCGTAACTTGCTTTGAATCTAACCAGCTTTATGAACTCATACTTCTATCTACATTACCCTCATTGATACAAGTACAATTAAACTCATTCCCTAAATATTTTTGGCATTGTGTGGGAATGTGTGTGTGTGTGTGTGTGCGCGCTCACGCATATTGGATACAGGCAAATGGCAACTTAATGTTCACAACCAAGAAAAATAATCAGCAGATTTCCAAACTGCAGGGGAGAAATGGGGAGAATAAAAATTCTAATTCCACTTCCAAACCAATTATTTTAAGTAAAGGGTTATGCCTTCACTACAGGACATTAATAAATGAGAAATATTCATATTTCCACACCAGGGAGGCTCCATCAGTCAACACTTCAAATATTAACAACTTTAATCAAAGCTGAAGGCTTTCACTAAGTGCCTGGGTATGAGTATTGAAGTGTAGAGCAA